AGTTACCCATCGACCACCAACTGACTAAAATAACCAAACCCGAAAAACAGATTTCTCTTTCCCAGTTACCCATCGACCACCAGCTGACTAAAATAACCAAACCCGAAAAACAGATTTCTCTTTCCCAGTTACCCATCGACCAACAATTAGATTAAAAACAAACAAAAAATATATATATACTGGTGTTTCTGTGGCGAATAATACTATTTTGTCAAATTTGTGTGGGAATAAAATACCACGTGAACGTGAAACACCCTGTATATTTCATAGTGGTGAGTAATTAACTTACTTGTGTTAATTAAACTACTTCATAGACATCTTTCAGTTGTTCAGAACGTTCAAAAATATACCTTTTTATTTGTTTAGTTACTGAAATCAGTGTTCCTATTTTAATCAACTAATCTTACTTTCTTTGCTAACTAATTAGCATAGTAGATCAACAACTTTTTTTGGGTGGGAGAGAGATTTCTCCACATGCGAAGAGAGAAGGGAGGTCTTCGTGGTCATCACCAATTATTTCCATGAGTGAAACGAGCAGTGTCGTACGACTTAACTTAAAGAACACACTGACACCACGCTCTCCCGAACTTGGCTTAAGTGAAACCTAAACCTAATAATTAATACAACGCTTCAGTTCAATTAAATATTTGTTTTGCTCAAACGGACCCTACCTTTGAAATGGAAGATATCTAAAAGTCGCTTTTCATGGCTTTGAAATTATAGCTTAAAAAACGTCTGACCGCCCTATATATATCTAAAGAGAAAGGTTGCCATTAAACACAGATTACGCCCACATTAATGAATACTGTTGAATGCTGTGTTTTATCTTCTTAAATTTAGACTTTTGTTTTATTTTCCTTGGGCTAGAAGTAGTTTTACAAAGTCACGTGCTGAGCGCGTGGCTCATTGATTAGAATTTTGTCGAAAGTTTAGAGATATTCTTTGTGTTTTTGATTTAATTTCGTACAAAGCTACTCGAGGGCTATCTGCACTAGCCATTCCCAAGTTAGAAGTAATAGACTAGAGGGAATGCAGTTAATCAACACCATCCACCACCAACACTTGGGATATTATTTAGCAACGAATAGTGGGATTCACCGTCACATTATAAAAGCCGAAAGGACGAGCATGGGATCGAACTTGCGACCTGCAAACAAAGAATCCAGAGCCCTAACTACCAGGCCATGAAATTTTAGGGAAAAGATCTCCACAATATGAACACGCGAGTTGTACTAAAGTAGTCAGTCAGTAAGTGTTGAATCAAGGAGTTATTTGGTTCAGCGCTGTAAATTTTGAGTTTGTATCTTATCGAAATTAACAAGTAAGCGTAAATAACTGTTCGGCTTTAGTTACGCGAACCTTTTACAGTTTTTAAAACTGTACTCGAAAAAATGAAACGATTTCGTTATCATTAAGTGGACCGGACTACTATTTTTACTGAATAATCCAAAATAATCTCCTAAACAAAAGAAACTGTTACAATAATATTAAATTAGAACT